GGGAGGGAGGGAGGGAGGGAGGAAGGAAGGAAGGAAGGAAAGCTATATTAGGGCTTTTCTCCCCCATAGGTAAGACAGCTGTCTTGCTTGGTTGTACCATCCTGGGATTGCACAAGCCCAGGAAGGTAACTCAGTGCTCCATGAACAGCTGCTGGACGCACCAGCCCACCTCGGTGCTGGCACAGCACAGCAGTCCACTAGGGCACAGTCATTCAGATGACACATACACGTTCTAACAAGGGAGGGGCGTTTCTCTCCAAATCTACCCAGGGTGTCCAATGTCCAATGTCTTTAAATCCACGTGTGTGTCTCTGTGTTTTTTCCTGGCAACGCAGTTATCTCCACCTACTTGCTCAGTCCCACTCCTGAATCAGCCTGTCCTTCCCACCTGCCTGCTTGGCCATCAGCCAGCTGCATCTTCCGGCTAACCCTAATGACTTGTCCTGATGACAGACCGGCAAAAATAGATCATCAGGATAGTAATAGCACACACCGCACCATACAGGAAGCCTGGAGAACACGAAGAAAGACTTCCCCTAAAGGTAAAGAAACTGTATCCGCTGTACCTTCACTTACTCTCATCAGAATTTAGTTTCCTACTTGTCCTGTCTCACCATAGAAAGTCTATACCTGCCAGTGGCATGCCTAGATCATTTAAAGCAGGAAAACAAATTTCTCAGTGCTATTAAGTCCTATGATCAAATAATGCTGACATCTGAACTCCAGGCAGAAAAAAGTGGCAGGAAGCAAAGTATGTTTCACATTAGGCTAATTGTAACAGCCGCAGAGGACTGTCACCGTGCCAAGAGGAGAAACAGGTTACGATGGATTTGGTTTTAGTCTCTTTGTCTCCAGCATGTACTTTCTCTGTGTCCAGCACAGGCAGTGTCAGCGCTACAGAGGGCCCAGGGCGGAAACCCTCCCACACCCAGCTCCCCGCAGATTATCCAGTAACTCGATCCCCCAAACACGAAACAGGGAAAGGAGAGGGGGGGAAAAAATCTGTGTATGTTAAAAAAAGACCTTCCGGCTTTTTAACATCTCCTAAAAATGTTCATTTCGTGTCTGTGAAGACAGCTTAATTCCTAGGCTCTGAAACAAATCCTCTTCAGGGTCCAGTTGTTGTAGAATTTCCTAGGATTGGGTGTGCATTTCCACCCAGACAGTACGGGCTGGTACAAAGGACACAAGGAGGAAAAAATGACAGAGTTTGGCTCACCAGCCCAGAAACATGCGGAAAGGCAGACGCTTTATATATAGCCAAACACAGACCATGCGACTTTGTAAGAATGAAAATGTTTTCAGGAGCACAGGAAAGTCAGGGATTAGCTCATAACCCATTAAAAGGCATGTATAAAATATACCCCAAAATGAATAATTTCTGCTTTTCCACTGGTGAATTTACAAGCACACTAAGCTGCAATTTAAGGCCTGTGGTAGTAGGGGCCAGCACCATGCCGTAGCTGATATGACAGCACCCTGTGACACTCTAGTTTGTGTCCCAGCTGCTCCACTTCTGATCCAGCTCCCTGCTCATGGCCTGGGGAAAGCAGCAGATGACCCAAGCGTCTGATTCCCAGCCACTCACTCGGGGACAAGGAGGAAGCTCCTGGCTTTGTCTTGGTTCAGTGTTGGCCATTGTGGCCCCTTGGGTAGTGAGCCTCTGGATGAAAATCTTTCTGTCTCTTACACCCTCTTAACTTTTTCAAAATAAACAAATCATTTAAAAACAATTGCAATAGTAAGGAGGTACATTCTAGTACCTGAGCGGAAGTAAACTAGCTAGCAAGTTTGGGCTGATCTGATATCAGCTGTCAGACCCAGAACTGCCAGGATCCCAGGTTGGTGAATTCTGAATAAAAACTGGAAAGAAGCACAGCAAAGGTTTCCAGACCTTGGGTGTTTACAGGGCCTGCATACAGTAAATCAACCCCCATAGCCAGGCTGGAATAATGCAGCCCCAGCAGAGGTGTGAATTACCCCCATTCATCTTAATGAAGTGTTAACTTCAAAGGCTTGTTTAACCGTTTAAATGTTCCACTTGTAAGCAAACCTCTCCTTCCAGTGTAGTATATAATTTAAACAACATAAAACCAGTTGTGGCTTGGACTTTGTCTTTCAATTCCGCAAGCAAATCTGCAAATGTCAGAAGAGCACGTCACACTTTCCTTCGTTTTATTTTAAAGAGTTATTACCTAATAAATTATGCACATTCAGACATACTGAGAAGGTTCCATTTCCCTGGAAGAAGGTTGCAGAGAACCCCAATGAAGGGGCCATGGGCTCTCAGCAGCCATCCCAGCAGCTTTGTCCAAACTCCTGGTGAATAACGTGACTGCCACCAGCACCTAGGCTCCACTAGTTACAGACACATCCAAAGAACGTTTCTACCAATCACGCTTCTTGTTTTCACTGTTTGAGTGGCCGATGGGTCACATCCCTTTTCCCAAAGCTCCCGTCATCCTAGCTCATGAGCAATGACAGAATTAATTGATGCCCAGCCATCATACTGAACATTTACATCTGCTAAAGATTTATGGTTAGTTTAGTATTACCGGTGTTAGATTTGTTTGAGCAGCTGAACATCTATTTGTATTTGGACCCATAGTTTTCACAAACACAAAGACAGTACAAGCACTAGTCTATCAGACTGATGGGCTCAACCTAGCTGACGTGACGCCACATGGGGCGGGGGGTCAGGTGTGGCTGGGCTTGGGGGGGCTGTGCTAAGTGCTCGGTTTTCCGGAGTACAGCTCGATTGGGATGGTGAAAAAATAGTGCATTTGGGGCCAGGTCACACATGAATGAAAACTAGAGAAAGGTTCTGAAGATAATAGTTGCACAAGATGAAACATAAAGACATTGGGGATGTTTCTCTATGCTAGGTTGAGAGCAAAGCCATTTCCGTGGTGCAGAGGAAAGATCAGAGAAAAGGGCTATCTATCTATCCATCTTCCCTCTTAGAAAAGCCTGTTTTGGTCTGCTCCTAATTTCAACAAGGCCATTCACTTTAATCCTCGCAACGCAACCCTGTGCGGTAGATACAAACTCTATTGTCTAGATGTGAAAATAGAGTGATTAAGCAGCTTGTATGTCTTTCAAAGACATTCTAACACAAGCTTTTCTAACCCAAGACCTTGTCCTTTTCCTCTTCCATCAGTTGTTCTCAAGTTGTCAAAGTGGTGCCTTTTTATCCCTCCCAAAAGACAAGCTCCGCTGTCAATCCGCCAGCCTGCTTCCTAAGTGGGAGGCAAGAGGGCACTTGCAAAACTGTATTTCCATGTATGCAAAATGGAACTTGGCATGCAATTCCCTACTATATCTGCGCCCTGTGGTCGGAGTCCATCTTACTCACACACCCTGGCTTTGGTGGGCTGCTCACAACGTCCCCTGCACATCCAACACTTGGGGAGAGGAGCACAATGCTTCCAGTTCCCAAGTAAACGCAGCTAGGTCAGTGGGAGGACTGTAACAAGGGACAGCCCTTCAAATCATGATGTCAGTGATCAGCATCTGTCTCGGTTGGTGGCACAGAATCATCACGTGTTTTATTGACAAACTGAGAAAGAAAACCTTCAAACCCACAGCCAGTCACCCCAGTTCTATCTCTTAATGAACAACAGAAAAAAAAAAATCAGTCTTTGGATAAGATCTGGAGGCAGGTCAAAGTACCAAGTGGAATAATCTCGCAGTTTTGTTATTAATGATTCATGATGACAACATTAACCCGCAGGTTCGATGCACTGACCTCTTTAAAAATGAAAGATTAATCCCATATATTTAGGAACATTAAAAAAGCTTCTGCTCTGTGAAAGACATTGCTCAGAGCATGAAATGACACGCCATAAACCAAGAGGAAATCTTTGCAAAACATATAGTTCGTAAAAGACACAAATCCAAAATACACAAAGAATGTTTAAAATTCAAGAATGAGAAAACAAACCAATTTTGTTTTTTTTAAAGGGCAAAGAGTTGGATACTTTACCAAGGAAAACGACCAGATGTTAAGTAAGCATCAGACGTTGATAGTTGGTGCTCAAGAGTCAAATCTCAGGCCAACCCAGGTGAGGTTTCTTGGGGCACTCCCAACTACATTGCTGGACTCAATTGTTGCCCACAAGGGAAAATCATGAGCTATGTGGTCTGACTTTGGAATGCATGTACCAGGATTGGGACCCCCTCAGTTGCTAATGCCTGTGTAGACAGCATGCCCAGATGCACACAGGGGCATGACAGCCAGCTCAGCAGAGGATACTAAGTGTCTCATTAGAGGACAGAAAGCAGAACCATTTGGACAACTCTCTGGGCCAAGCTTTGCAGCAAATGCGTGGGTCTATGGATGCACACCGAGGCAGACTTAGTCAGTCAATAGACCATGGAAAGATTTTCTCAGCCCTGGTGCAATGAAGCCGACAATACTCAGAACTATCAAAACTCTCTTCCCCATCACATCAGGTGACTCTCCTCACCCCCAGCTGCTGATGTAGTTTTACAGTAAGGAATGGCTCTCTCACCCCACAGAATAAAAAGAATTAAAAAAAAAAAGTAAGTAATAAAAAAACATAAAACTGCAAACAAACAAACAAACAAACAAACAAAACCCAGGCAACTGTAGGCATCTTGGAAGTAAGCAAGAATATAGGAACTCCCAGCATTTTGTTTAAACTTTTGGACATATGCAATTTTTATAAAAATGAAAGTCTGTGTTTTTTTTTTTTAAGCCTCAAAGACTGATCCAATATGAATACACTGCAGAAAGTTCATGGAAAAAAAAATCAGAGGTCATTTTTATTTCTTAACAGTTTATTTATCTTAAAGGTAGAGTGACTCAAAAGTGAGACATCTTCCATCGGCTGATTCACCTTGCACATGTCCGTAACAGCTTGGGGCTGAGCCAGGACATTGCCAAGGGCATAGAACACGGTTTGGGTCTCCTGCTGGCACAGTAGGACCCAAGCACCTGGAACATCTGGGGGGGTTTTCCCAGGCGCATGAGCAAGGAGCTGGTGTGGAAACAGTAGCTGGTCCTCCCCTCATCCAGGCAGCATCGCAGGTGTGGCTTGATGGGAGAGTCACAGTGCCTTCCCCAAAAGGAACTTTCTGGAATGCAAGCATGCCCTTCACAATATGCATCGTCATGAGCATCTGGTATATTCAGGGACAGCTTGAATTCATTTCTTGTTTTGCTTAACATTAGTAAACATCTTCCCTTCTGCATGCAATGCCCCTCTGCTCCGTTTTTTTTTTTCCTGCTAATGATTTTTATAAAACCATTATATTTCATCCAAGGTGCCTTCCAGAATTAATTCATCTTGTATACGGAGGTAAATGATTCTTTCATTTATTTAATTTACTACCTTCATTTCTTTCATTTATTAATCCAATCAAAGATGATGAGTGCTAAGCTAAAATTTCCAACCAGAATTCCAGAGATAAGCAAAACAAAAGCCTGAGGAAGAAAAAAGACAAAACAAAACAATTAGCCATTTAAATTTCTAACTCCCTCACAATGTATTTTATACTCACAAATGTAACTTTCTAAGATTTATTTCTCTTTTACTGGAAGGCAGATGTATCCAGGCAAAGAGAGGCAGAAAGGCAAATGAGTTTTTGACAGAGATATAATATAAAGGAACAAATTGTTTCTTAATATACCAAGAAAAAAACCAAAAACTTACTCCAAACTTCTTCCACGAGAGAAAGTCCTCTGTGCTGAGTTTAAGGTAAAACAATCCCGGGAACACAAAAATCAAACACGTTGAGGTACTGGCACCTTGACGCCGGAGTGGGAGAGAGAGAGAGAGAGAGAGAAAGAGAGAGAGAGAGGATATTGTTGAATTCAGCTGTGAACCTGAGAATTTCATGCATTTTTATCAGGTCGAGTTTTAGAAACACAGTACTTACCGACTACACCAAACACGTTACTAATGTCAGGGACATATATTGCAAGTAAAACAATGATTGCGTTGAGTGCTAGAGTGACTGAGAAATGGCGAATCCATGAGAATGGGAAATTGGAGAAGAAGATCATCATTAAAGCTTTTCTGGCCTGTGTAACAGAAAAGGGAACAGGCTTAAGCAAATAGTAAGTATCAAAGACAAGATATTTGCCTGAAGAAATCCATGCACAGCATCCGTGATGTCTGTAGCCCTCCAAAGTCATCCGGATTTCTGAAACCAGCGCAGTGGCTCAACTGGCTAACCCTCCACCGTCAAGCACCGGCATCCCGTATGGGCACCGGTCACCAGCTGCTCCACTTCCCATCCAGCTCCCTGCTTGTGGGCTGGGAAAGCAGTCGAGGATGGCCCAAAGCCTTGGGACCCTGCACCCATGTGGGGGACCTGGAAAAGCTCCTGGCTCCTGGCTTTAGATTGGTTCAGCTCCGGCCACGGTGGCCAGTTGGGGAGTGAAGGTAACAGGTGGAAGTAGGCAGGAAGGTGGTGGTGGGTGGAAGAGCTTTCTCTCTGTGTCTCTCCCGCTCTTTGAAAAATCTGCCTTTTCAATAAAAACAAATACATCTTTAAAACGTTGGATTCCTAAAATGAAACATACACTCTAATAAATTATTTATACACACAAACCTTTCTGTGTGAACTTCATAATTAGTTTTTTTTTTTCAAATTCCATAGCATATTTTCACAGGCAGTTTTTTAGGTTGCATAACTGAAAATTGCCAACAACAAAGACACATTTCCATCAAATTCAACAGACTGAAATCCAAAGTGAGCGCAAACAGAAAGAGAAGCGCCGCCACGGGAGACGCCTCTCACTGTCCAGCCCGGGCCACGCGCTGCACAGCACGCCAACAGGAAGGGGTTATCACACCTCCTCAAGACGCTGGTGCAGAAGCACGTACGCTCACTTTGTGTTCATTTTCTCAGACATTCTTACGATTCTTGGCCGTCGCAAGGATGAAATCTGTTCTGTCCCTTAAATTATAATCCTAAGCAAGTGAGATATTTTGGCTAAGATGCAACTAGAATATCTGCATGAAAGCCTATCTTGAAGAAGCTGGCGGGAGCTGATTTTTGCTGACTTGATGTTTTTCTCCTCTTTTTGAAAAGAGAATACAGAGAGGGAGGGGCAAAACCTCAAACATCAGAAGAACTACGCTCTGTAAATTGGAAACAAAGCTGCGGGAAAGCGTAAACCTAAACGACATCTCCAGAAGCACAAATCAGCTGAGGAGTTCACTGTGCTTCTTATGCTTTCACGGGGCCTTGCGCAAGTATGAGGTCTTTGATCCGTCACTTGGTGAATGAGAAAGATACACAAGACTAGATGGGACTCGAGTGTTCAAAAAGTCTGCAAGGAATTAGCGTTGCCGAATCAGGGAGCTGCTCCACTAGGCCGGAGAGGCCGTGCAGCGCACTTACGGGGAAGTGGATCAGAGGGACTGTCAGCAGCACGGCGAGCAGCAGACACAGCTTCACAGTCATGACAACGGCGTCGTGCGGCAAGTATCTGCTATAACCTCGGAGCAATTCTGACTCCACTTTGTCTGTAAGCGAAAACACAATATGGATCACATTAGAAACTTCATCCTAAGAGGTCGATAATAGCAAAATGATTTCCCGCTGCACTAATGCATCTTAAATACATACTATACTCCTACCACCAAATCTATTGCCAGCCTTTCTCCCTGAAGTAGGAAATAGAGACACCACTTAAATATATTCTTGAAACCTACAATCCTTTTTATCTTTAATGAAATTAGAAGCCAGAATAAGCAGAACCTCTAAAGTTATGACAATGCATGTTTAGAAAAATATCCTTTCTTATGGGGCTGGTGCTGTGGCATACTGGATAAAGCCACGAGTGACTCTGGCATTTCATGTGGGCGCTGGCGTGTGTCTCAGTTGCTCGACTTCCAGTCCAGCCCTGTTTAATGATCTGGGAAAGGCAGCAAGGAGGACCCAACCACTAGGGCCCCTGTTACCCACGTGGGAGGGAGAAGCTGCAGGCTCCTCGCTTCAGCCTGGCCCATTCCTGACCAGTGCAGCTACCTGGGGAGTAAACCAGAGATGGAAGCTCTCTCTCTTCCTAATTGTGTCTTTCGAACAAACACACACACATTTAGATCCACTCTCTGAAAAGAAAGAATGAAATGCAGGGGGAAGAGGCTTTCTTCTGCAGTGCACACACACACACATGCACACACACAATCTTGACGCAGCAAAGGACAGGTGTAACTGAGAAGAGAGCAGTCTGGCAGCTGGCACAGTGGCTGAGTGCAGCGTGCAAGCAAGGTCGGTGGGGGCTGGGGACGCTCACGCAGCTGTGCACAGGGGCCGGGGTCAAGCCGGCAGGCAACGAGATGTGCAAACAACTGCTGCAGAGCAGGACTAGGAAGCACGCTGGGAATGGGAGGGAAACGAGTTGTCTAAGAACTAAATACGTGGGCTTGGCATGGTAGCCTAGAGGCTAAAGTCCTCGCCTTGTAGGCGCCGGGATCGCCCACCCTGGCCACCCTGCTTCCCATCCAGCTTCCTGCCTGTGACCTGGGCAAGTAGTCAAGGACGGCCCAAAGTCCTGGGACCCTGCACCCACGTGGGAGACCAGGAAGAAGCTCCAGGCTCCTGGCTTCGGATCGGTTGAGCTTCAGCCACTGCGGTCACTTGGGGAGTGAATCAGTGGATGGAAGATCTTCCTTTCTGTCTTTCCTTTCCACCTCTCTGTATATCTGACTTTCCTATCTAAAAAGAAAAAAATCTTAAAAAAAAAAAACAAAGCATGAAATGCTCACACAGTGTGGGACTAAGTGACCGAGGCAATTAGTAAGAAGAGCCAGAAGATCTGGATGCCATCTCCGGCCTGGAGACACCGCCAGTCTTCATTTCCACTTTCTCAATCATGAAATGAGCTATGACCACCTTTTTCTTAACAGCCTTATTGACTTTAAAAAGGTCTGCTTATTATACAACATTTGGGCATTGGAGCAGTTCGTAACTTCTCTCTTCCTCAACATAAAATGCTCTAATTCCTGTAGCCAGGGTCAATATTAATAATTGAGGTCCCTTTAATCTGACAAAATTCAGACGTTCAGTGAGCCTTGAGCGCTCTGGATAAAGGGATTCCAAGCAGTTCCAGAAGCCTGGAGAACTAGATTCATCACCAATTCCAAGCAAATGTCACATGTCTGCATCTTACTTCCTCAGGAGGAAACCTCTGTGCTGAGTCAGAGCCTGTGTTCGCAGCTGAGCCTAAACATATGTAAGGGATCCAGTCCAACAGGCTCCTCGGGATTCAGACAAATCTCGACAAATCTCAGGAGGACCTGATGGGTTCTCTATGCCTCTCTGATGTAAGGAGGCTGTCTGCTTCACATACACTGCCCCGCAGGATGTAAAGTTTACAAACAAGAATGAACAACACTGGATTAGACAGAGTTCCTATTAGATGCCAAAGAGGTCTCACTTGGTTACGACCAACTCCCTTCCCCAGACCATGAAATATCAAATTTGTGTTTGTATCTTTTCTTTTTAGAGAAGAAATTACTTTCATGTCACTGACGCCTACCATGAGATTTTTTTGTCATGTGTTTTTCCATTATATAAAATTAGTGCACTTTGAAGAATGCCCACCAGAGAAGGGATTAAATAAGAGACAACATAGTATCTTTACCTGTAACCAGGTAAGTTCTGGTCTAGGAAACATTTCATCTACGTGGTGAAAACTTTCAGCTTTAGTGTTCAAGACAGACAGAGGATATCTGGAGTGTACATAATTTAAGTTTTCCCAAAAGTTCACACAAACAAAAAAGGAATGAAAGAAATCTGGCTTTAGATACTGACAGAACTGGATTCAAATTTCAACTCCACTATTCATTAATTGCAGACACTGGCCTACTTGCTCAATTTGAACGAGCCCGCCGTGCACAGCTGTTAAAGGCTCAAGTTAGGTGATGTATGTACAGTGTCTGATACCGACTTAAATGTTAGCTCCTTCCTCCACACCCCTTTCAATATAAGCCTTCCTTCCTATGATACTGTCCCTAAGAACCTAGTGACCCACTGGTTTAACCACTTCTTACTATCCTCAATACTGCTACTTCCTTCTGGATGGTCATACTTATCTATAGGAGGAGAAAGTCAGTTCTTACGTTTTTTTCCCCCTTTTTGTTAAATGTCCCTAAATATAATAAAGGCTGAGCATCTCTCATCCAAAATGCTCTAAAATGTGTCTCATTCTAAAAAGATGTTCAAATCAGGGATATTCAAATGATAAAAGTCTACATGAAAATTTCGATATCCAAAAAAGTTGAAATCTAAAGTATTTCTGGTTCCAAGAATTTCAAATAATATTTAATCAGCACGATTAGTGTCAGGTGACTACTTTGATCTATAAAAATAAATACAACTATTATACCATATTAAGTACTTCTGAGTCCCAAGAAATCCTGCCAAAATATCTTATTAATACAGAAAACTTTAACTCTATTAAAAACCAACAAACCTAGCATCCAAAAGTACAAAATACATATTTTAAGAATTTTGTTTTACTAGTAGTGACCAAAAACCTTGACAATCAGTCTTAACTTTCTTTGCTGTGCAGCCAGCAAGGCACCAAGATCGCACGGGAAACAATGCTTTTGCGGGTTACATACGCAGAACCCTACCACTCTAATCCGGCATCTGTGTAAAATCACAGTAGATTTTGATTCATGATGGCTTTATTATTATTGAAGTAACAACCACTTAGGTGATTCCTATTGCCTGTAAGGTAATGTCTTCTTGAAGTACAGCGTATAAAGACAGAGGACCTGAAACTAGGACATAACTGTGATGACAGTGATGCTAATGATAACACTGACACAGTACTAGCAGCTGCTCTCATTTTGGGAGGACTCAAGCACCTCCAGCAGTCATTTACATACGACTTGCTTCCACCTCAATATGGCTGTGATGCAGTTATCCTCAAGGCACTGAGTCAGTGATGGAGATAAGGTAGGGTGAACTGTTGTATTCAGGAAGAGTAGAGGCGTCATCTGAATCCGACTTGTTGGATTTCAGAAACCACATTCTTTCTATAATGGCTGAAAAGGAAGCCACATACAAAATCTGTCCAAAAACTTGTCAGACCCCGGAAGACTCTATGAGGTAAGTCAAGTGCCATGTCAGCCACACAGGATGTCCACACCCTGAGGCACGAGCGCAGGGCTCTCATCCATGAAGCCGGGGTCCAAACAGCACAGCCACAGTGGCCACGGCCATTTCCAGGAGAGTGCCAGTGAAAACACCAGAAGGCTGAAAGGTGGGCCAGAAACCGACACACCGAATGTAACTGATGTTACAATGTGTTCGGTACTTTTAAGAAAGAAATCACTATTACACATTTTCTCATAGCCTAAAGTTTTACTCAAGCGTTTGAGAAAATGTTTACATGAAAGTCGTTAATCTTAAGCCTGACCGACCTTTCCAAGAGAAGAATCAATTCTTGCATCCCTCTGGGGCTTCACTGTAATCTGGTGACCTGAACGAATCAGCTGACTAAGAGAGGCAGAGGGGACCTGGAGTCAGGTGTGAGATCTCCTGGAGACAATTCATTCTGCTCCCCACAGTTAAAGAATATACTCACCATAAAATGTGAGGTACCCAAAGAGTGCAGAGACAAAATAAATGAGAAAACTGAAAGCAATTGCTGTATTGGTGACATTCTGCATTCGTCTCTTTGAAGGGCTAAAAAACAAAAACGACAAAAGTAGCAACAGTGATCCGAATTAGATGTAAAGAAATAAGCGTCTCCTAAGCTAGTCAGGATTTTTAGCCATTCAAGATCTGATCTATCAATCCTATTCTGACACAAGTGACTGTACTTTCAAGACAGAGCCTTGGCCCGACAGCGTGGCCTAGCGGCTAAAGTCCTTGCCTTGAATGCTCCAGGATCCTATATGGACGCCGGTTCTAATCCCGGCAGCTCCACTTCCCATCCAGCTCCCTACTTGTGGCCTGGGAAAGCAGTCGAGGATGGCGCAAAGCCTTGGGACCCTGCACCCTCCTGGGAGACTCAGAAGAAGCTCCTGGCTCCTGGCTTTGGATCGGCTCAGCTCTGGCTCTTGCAGCCACTTGGGGAGTGAACCAGCAGATGGAAGCTCTTTGTATCTTTCCTTCTCTGTAAACCTTCATTTCCAATAAAAAAAGAAACCTTAAAAAGACAACGCTATTCACTCTGAAAGCCCTAAAGGTAAAAGGACACACAATACATCTAAAATATTTCAGGATACCTTTGAAGTTCACAGTATATGGGCAAGATTGAGGTATGGCAGAGAAATGAAAAAGCCATGGTTGGTACTGCATAAACACTCTGAAAAAAAAAATGGAAATGACATAATCAGTAAACACTGCTGTACTGAAATCACACTTATTATGGCTAAAAATTTGGAACTCAAAAAATCAATCTGGTTAAATTTATTTGATCTTCTATAAATCACATCTTTATATTTGAAACTTTTTTTTATTATTACTTTTCTCTGTTTTAGAATCATACACCTGTGGTCATCAGTAGCTGTGGTCCTCGAGACTTGTCTTGCCTGAACTATCTGGAGTTTCCTGGCTGGCTTCCTGGACCACATTACCTTTACCACAATCTCTTCTGTAATTATTCGGGTATGATAAAAATAATTTAGGGAAAATGAATAACATTATGGCCTGATAAATACTTCAGAAATGTACTTATTCCAATTTTCAAGTCTTTTCTAACGAATGTACAAATGAAACACTTATTCCCATAAGCAGCAGAGGCAGTTGATGCTTTTGAATATTAAGCACCTCTTACTACCAACAATATCTTTAGAGCCAATAAAACACACAAAGGTAAATTTTATTTCGCTTTTAAATTGTTACAAGAATACTTAACAGAAGTCACTAGAAGTTATAATGTAAAAAAAAAAAAGTTACCAGCACAATGAAAGCACTGCCTTTACCAAATAGATGTTGGCGATTTATTTTCTCCTTGCTGCTCTAAACTAACTAGACTCTTCAGCAAAGACAAGTTCCAGATGAAGACATGTCTTGGGACACAACCCTTAAAATAGCTGAGCTGGGCTGGGAGGAACGGAGCTGCAGTGTTTCCTGATGCTGGATTAGAGGAATGAGGGTTCAATTAGTAACTTCTCTTGTTTCCTGTATCTCGGTTTCCCAGCGTGGCAATCACTCTTGTCACATCTTCAAAGCACATGGATGTGTTTACCACGGAAAACATGTGGTGACTTCCCTTGTGGGGCCAGAGAGTCACTACTCATTTAAACACTACAGCTAAAATGGACAATTTTGCATGGAGAAGTAACCTCACTGGCACACGAACATCCTACACTAACAGAGCTGTAGGGGCTGTGGGATCCCAGCACGCAGGGCCTGCACACAGCGGCATGCGAGTAGAACTAGCGAGTACCAGAGAGGCACCACCACGCTCCCTCCTCATCTCACTCCCCCTTTCCTGTGATGATGCCTATGGGTGAGGCATTTCCAAGGTCTGTGGCGCTTAGGTAGAGCAAGGGATCCTAGACTTCTAGTCTTTGCTCCAGATAGCCTAAATTTCAGCTTTGGAATGTTGGCCAGAAGATCCACTGGCGCTGCTCAATCACTGGCCCAGTGATGAGGCTGCTTGGTTACAGGCCAAGGTTCTCTTCACAGGGAGCAGGTTTTGATATAATTGGCTATTTAGCTTTACAAGTCCAGAGGGCAACAGGAAGTCTGTATCCACCAGAGGACCTTTTTGGCCAGAGCAGACGTTTGGTAAATCTGCTCTTTTAGCCAGAAACCCATTTAAAACAAGCTGCATTTAAAGGCACGCCAAAAGAAAAAAAAAAAAAAAAGAAAAGAAAAAAAAGGTGGCTGTTTCATAATGGGCCACCCTGTGTTAAATAATATTATTCTTCTGGTAGGCAATCCTATACTTAGCACTTTCATGAAAATTAATTAGTTACAGGTACAAAGGCCTGAGAGACCCTGCTACACAAATCTCTTAAAACTTGAAATGTGAAAAAATCAACCCAAAGTATCTGTTAATAACTTACACACCTCTTTGGAGAAATGAAAGAGCTTTGGTGTACAATCATCTGTAGCATTTGAAATCTGTTTAAGAGTATTGAGGGGAAAAAGAGAAACCAACAGCCATTAAAAGTCAGACTACATCGACCGAAGTGATGAGTTTATTATTACTAGGTTTTCAAATCAAAATATTTTAAAACAAAGCTCCCAAATGAAATACAGCCATCACTTTCATTATTATTATTGTCAATGAGTGAAAAAGATCAATTAGTCTGCTTTTTTTTTTTTTTGGTCTTTTTACTTTAAAATAAAAAGAAACAACTGCAAAAAAAAGTTCAGCTATTATTACCTGGAGGCACTGCCCTACATGATTCAACATTAGGGGACAAGGGATGGACCACTTTTTAATAATTACCTGAAAGGAAAAAAAAGAGATTCAGTACTCAGCTTTTTTCATCTAATTCATAACAAATTGTTTTCAAGTAGGTGAGCATTATTTCAACCAACTGAACATCACAGCAAGCATGAAGCTCACAGAAGTTTCTTTGTGTATCTGCAAGGTCTTCACAAAGCTCCCGGAATTACGAAAACACTATGCATGGATTGCAAATTTTTTTTTTTTTTTTTTGCATCAAAACACAGTTATCTTTTAATTCCATTCTCCCACCAGTTTTTGGAAGTATGATCATAGAGTGTTCCCAGTCAGGTGGGTCGCCTGTGGTGGGAGGGACTGGACGGAAGGGGCTACCTGTCTGTGCGGGGGGTTTCCCCGTGAATTAAAGCATTAAAAAAACAATGTGATTTTAAAAGGCAACACGACATTTCCAGTGACAACGACCCAAGAGCATGGCTGTGCGGATGTTCTATCAAAAAGAGAGAGCAATTTCAGTAACTCTTCTGGGTAGGGTCCCCAGCAGAAATGAGCAGGGCGAGCGAGAGAGCTGAGCCACTGCTGCTGGCGAGTGCTCGCCCCTCCCTGCCTTTCCAGGCCTGAGTTATTTTTGGCGGATGTGAAGAAAGCTGGCTAGAGTAAGAGTGTGCAGCTAGGGAACTCCAGCTGGTAAAAATAAATTAAGAAAAACATTAAAAGAAATCCAGAGGGATGTTATTTCCCAGAAAGAATCAATGAAAACGTTTCAGGATCTTACTCTTAATTGTGGCCATCCTGTTCCTGGGCCCTTGGTTGTGGCTGTGTCAACATCACCATTGTTGCTGGTGTTTTGGGGGCACCTAATTACCCTGTAGATGTTTGCTCCAGGCTGAATCCCAGCATACAAAGGGCAAGGGAGAATAAATGCAGTATTTGTCCTTTGTAGGAGACCAACAAGTAAACACTATTCCTACTGGGTACTTATCTAGTTTGGGACTTAACTAATTCCATCAAAAATTATGCTGTGATAGAGCAATTCTTAGGGAAACATATACTTACAGGATTAAGTTAATGAGTGAACTAAAGAGTCATTCTTCGTTAAAAATCTCACCAATCTAATGGGGTTTCACAAACAGGAGAGGATGGAGCCAAACAATATAGACTTTACCGGAGTGTTGGCCACACCGCGATTGAGCTGTCTATTCTATGAATTTCCTTATTGATTTGAAAGTGTTTCTAAACTTTTAAATGAAAATGTTTCAAAAACAGTGTTTCAAAATGCAATACAATAGCTGTTTTTCATTCATTTTTGAAATACACTGTTCTGTATTAAAACAACATGCAGATACGAAAGCTAATTTCTTGGCAGAGATAGCCCCTGAGTGCCAAGGCTGCAGGGTGGATGGCGTGACCGAAGAGCTGTCCCTGCTGAAGCACACAGCTGCCCAGGAAGGTGACCCACAGAGGCATAGCGCTCCAGATGAAGACAGAACATGTAAGAAGAGAACTTCAGGCGCTGGAAAGCCAAAGACAGAAGGAGCTTAAGTAATAAAGTAACGTGCTCCATTGCACCAAAGGTCTTTCCTCCTTTTCTCTGTGCTCAGAATTTGCCATTTTTCAAGGCTTGGGTTATTTCTTGCTGAAGCCTCTGGATGCTAACTGCGAGTGAGCCTGCTCTCAACTCCTGCAACGTTCACAAGGAAGCAGATCAATCCTGTTTTGTGATATGCTGTCCCTACTGCTCTCTGGCTTCTTCCAATAAATTTAGTCTCATCGCCCCTACTAGGTTGACAGATTCTTAGGTGCCCACATTAAACTTTCTCATCTATAATGTGTTCTGTAGAAGGAAATCTAACATCCACTTACACGGGTTACTTTTTTCATTATTGAATCACTGAGGTGTGAGTTAAGAATGCTACCATGTATTTTAAGATAAAACTTCTGGATGTAGGTCTTTGAAGAATAAATCAGAAGACAGGAGCTCTCTCTCACATGTATTGGACACGTCCTTAAGTTATAAGAGCCTACAGACTGCACAATGTCCCTCACTGTCCCATTTAAGGCACTTTATTTAAACTGTGCTCACAGGTAAGTCTGGGCAGCTGGCTTCTAGAGCATTTCAACAAATGCAAAACGGGGGGGCGGGGGGATTCCTTCCACGGGCCTGCTAGAGTAGGAATCTGCATTGAATTAAAGGGTGTCTGCCCTGACAAGAAAGGAAAGGAGAGCAGACATATCGTATCAATACATTTCATCTGCTTCAAACTATTGGCTATGAAAACTAAATTGCTCATAGGTAGCAATTGCTCATAGGCCTGGATGACCAATGATCTCTGAAGGCAAGATGGAATATGTTATCTACACGAACTCTCTTTACTCCCCACGCATTCACTTGCGAACGTAACCACGTCTACCCATGTAGCTACTTCTCAACAATCAACTAATAATAAAATTTTCAAATGAGGCAGTCTAAAAGTGTAAGAAGGTACTTCAGTTTATGGGAAAAAAAAACAGAAAAGATGCTCGTGTAGGCACGACACATTGAAATCCACGCATCATTTCCCATAACACTTAATTTTCATGACTTTCGGAAGACCCTTCGCATGTACGGATTTCAACTCTTTTGCACCAGAATAAACGTAGCTTTTAATTTCGTATTCCAGGAAATTTTGAGTTACTCACATATGTTCAGTTCACTTGGTTTTATTATAAGATATGAGGAAGAATGATAAATCCTACAAATGATTAAGTATAAGCAATTAAATGCTTTCATACTTTCGAACATTAAAAGGATTTCCTACGCTTACGTAGACTGAAATTAGTCTCCTCGTTTGCATAATCTAACTTTAACTGTTGTATTTCAGAAGCTAGTTTAGTCTAAATTAAGTGTACCCTAAATAGTTCTAACAGTTTTGAAACCTGGCTTTCTAACCCAGCTTTCCTAGAGTTGGGCTTAATGTTTGGCAACTTTCTTTCATTCATTTCTTTTTTTTTTTTTTTTTAAAGATTTATTTTTATTATTTTTTCATTGGAAAGGCAGATATACAGAGAGGAGAGACAGAGAGGAAGATCTTCCGTCCGATGATTCACTCCCCAAGTGAGCGCAACGGGCTGATACTATGCCGATCCGAAGCCAGGAGCCTCTTCCGGGTCTCCCACGCGGGTGCAGGTTCCCAAAGCTTTGGGCCGTCCTCTGCTGCTTTCCCAGGCCACAGGCAGGGAGCTGGAAGGGAAGCGGGGCTGCCGGGATTAGAACCGGCGCCCATATGGGATCCCGGGCGGCAAGGTGAGGACCTTTAACCACTTGCGCCACCGCGCCGGGCCCTCTTTCATTCATTTCTTAATAAGAGGGAGCATTTAATCAAGCTTATGAAAAGGTCATTTGGATATAAATATACTTGTCAATTAAAAAAAAATGTTTAATCCTACTTAAGGTGTGACATTAAGATAGTGGTTATGGAATAAAGCGCTATGCCAAGAAAAATTTTTTTTAAAAAATTTATAGCAGATGCTATCTGTAATATGTTAAGATCTGCTTTAAAAGAATTAAATGGAAATAAATTTATATTCTTTCATTTTTATATTATTTTATAAATGCCAAAATGAACTATATCTGCTATTATTCTATAATAATGAAAATGAGCTTATATAAAAAAAGAAAAAATACATGAAGAAAATATTATCTTGCAGTAGTGTCTTTATGAGGATCTATAAATGAAAAAAACCAAACTTGGGTCCGGTGCAGTAGCCTAGTGGTTCAACTCCTCATCTTGCATGTGCTTGGATCCCAAATGGGTGCTGATTTATGTCCCAGCTGCTCAACTTCCCATCCAGCTCCCTGCCTGTGGCTTGGGAAAGCAGTTGAGGACGGCCCAAGGCCTTGGGACTCTGCACCTGCATGAGAGACCCAGAAGAAGCTCCTGGCTCCTGGCTTTGGATTGGCTAAGCTCTAGCCATTGTGGCCACTTGAGGAGTGAGTCGGCAGACAGAAGATCTTCCTCTTTGTCTCTCCTCCTCTCTGTATATCTGTCTTTCCAGTAAAAATAAGTAAATCTTAACAGAATAAACAAACAAAAACCAAAACTGGTAGGGGAGGTGTGGGAGCTGGTCCCCAATGAGCCCGACTCCCAGCATCTCTCATTTCATCAGTGGAACAAAGATTCAACAGGCAGGTGACTTATGCCAAACTGATTTTACAGATTAGATCCAAAGACTTCCTATAGTGATGAAGGCTTTTCGAAACACCCGTGGAAATGCCCACTCTTAATTCCGTCTTTTCCATGAATTTTCGGAAGCGCTTTCATGATGTACAGAAAGAAAGTGGCAAGCCTGCAGAATGACACTCCCCCCAGAGTTTTCACAAAGTTTGCGTGCTCGTCTCCCTAGCTAACCACGGAGGGAGACCGGATCCGAACGCTGCCCCAGCTAAGCCCGTTTCATAATAGATATGATGAAGGAAATATCTTTGTGGAATAAAAGTGCTTTTAATAACGTGTTCATATAAAATGGAATACTCTTCTCGACACAAAACAAAACAGAGGCAAAAGAAAAAAAAAACATCAACTACGAGTCCAATTGTAGGAGGAGATAATACATTATGTCGTAAACTTACCACAAGAGCAAAGAACGCCATAAAGAAAAATGATAAACTACTTGTGTAGCCAAGAAAGCCTATAAAATAACAGTAAAATAAAAAGCAATTTATAAGGCAAGCAGTCCTAGCACACAGCTAAAGCCATACATCTCGGGCATGTTTCCTATTACAGTGCCTGGCATCTGGGGCTCAGGGCTCGGAATAACAACATTCCAGCTATCTGTCACACATCATTTATGAAGCTCTGTCCAGCAGCATTGGAACTGGCTTACCACTAATGGCACGCTGGAACGGGAGGCTGCTCTTTAATGTTCCGCTGTAAAGATTTTGATTTTAGTGGGGCAGACAAAATACTACTGCAAACCAAGTAATAGGTTAACTAGGCAGGGCTGAAGGCTGAATAACCTAAAGTCAGGCCAAGTTTAAAATGATTCACAACCGCCACCCTTCCGCTGACAATGTAGGACTGTGAGATTTCCAAGCCCCTTGGCATTCCTCTCTCTCTCCCTTCGTCTCCCCTCCTTTCTAAACCAGCCACACGGTCTTCCCTGCAGGCTTACCTATTTTGGGCAGAAGGGCGAGAGGGAACACAATGCCGACACAAATGATTATTAGTAGTGTTTGTCCATCAAGATACCAAGACCTATTGGAAAAAAACAATGTTCTGTTTTAGGCCCGGGACTCCAGCGTTTGTTTTAACACACATGCAAAACACCTTATAGTCTTAACAACCACCTGATGTGTAAAACCCGTTTCTTCTTGCTAATATATTCTTACGGAATCCCATTATTAATGTATGTATATTTAGAAAATGTATCAAAATAATAAGCTGTCACTTTTAAAAAGGTTTACTGTATTTATTTGAAAGGCAGAGTGTTAGAGAGATCTTCCATCTGTCGGTTCACTCCTCAAATGAGCCCGATGCCTGGGGCTGGGCCAGCGACATCATCCACGTGTCCTGTGTTTGTGGCAGGGGCCCAAGGACCTGGGCCATCTGCTGCTGCTCTTCCAGGAGCGCTGGCAGGGAGTTGTATCATAAGTGAGGCAACTGGGACTCAAATGGGCATCCATATGGGGTGCCAACACTGAAAGAACTGGCTTTATCCACTATGCCACAATGTTGGCCTCAAGGAATGACACTTTTACACTGCTAAAACAGTATTTAGAATTACCTTAATAATTGTATTACTTAATATAGATTCTGATATTATAGAATTAGAATTATATTAATATCTTCAAAATATCTTTAAAATAAAAATGTGGATAAAAGGATGTGTTATGGTTGATCTTTCAATAGTATGAGTGAATGGTGTGTAAAATCTGATAAATGAATAAACTATGTAAGAATCTTCAAGAATAGTTGAGAACCTTCACATAATTACACCCTTTAACACTGAAAGATTATTAAATATCAAGGCAACATTTAGCAATGATAGGAGATTTGGGGTCCATGTGAGATGCAGTAAGTTCCCTATGAGAACACTGCTGCAGTCTGGGTTACTCAGCTTCTGCTGCAGCTCCCTGCTAATGTGAGAGCAGAGGAAGATGGTTCACGCCTGTGGACTCCTGCCACGTGCGTGGAGGCTGCTGACACAGCTCCAGGCCCCCGGCTTCAGCCTGGCCTGTGGAGGACTCCTGCCACGCATGTGGGGGCCGCTGACACAGCTCCAGGCCCCCGGCTTCAGCCTGGCCCAGCCTTGATGGTTGTGGCCATCTGGCGAGTGACAAAAGCAGTGGATAAAAGATCTCCATCTCTCTCTTTCAAATAAACAAGTAAGTGTTGCTTTTTTTTTTTTTTCTGTTTTAAAGAACAATGAGTTTTGCAAAGAAATATTTATTGGAAACATTTATAATAATCAATATTAGAAACAAACGTAATATGACAATTGGAAATAAAAATAGAACGAATATTCAGTAAACATTCTGTGTGTGTATAGTGTGATACTAATTTTTAGGAAAAATATAAATAAAATGGAAAAAGCTCCAATATATGATAGACTTTATCTCTAGACAACAGAATGGTGACCAGTGTTGTTCATAGTTGTCTATAGTTATTAAAAGTTCCGGGAAAGGGGACAAGTGATGAGGGAAAAAATATTAAATTTTCATATGAAGACATTAGAATACCAATTTAAAAAGTGTGTAGTGTAATTCTGCATTTGTTCATTAAAAAAATACAGCTGGATGAAAACTTAAAAATAAGCCAGGAGGATATACTTAAAATACCAAAAGCGACTATTTCTATGTGGTAGTAATATGAGAAATTTTTATTTTCTCCTTCTTTATATATTATATGGTTTAATTTTTCAATATGAAACACACATGAGGAAGTTTAAAAAAGTCTAAGTTAGTTTTCCAAAACTTTAGTATATTGAAACGTAAATGACAAACAAGCCATGAGATGCACATGGACAGAAATCCAATCGCTGGTGTGGATTAAAGGAATAGCGAGACGTTGAAATGATAACAGCAAGATTATTAACCAGCACTATTCCAGGATGTGTTATGGTTGATCTTCCATATTGTTAGTGACCTTGTCAACCGGTGTTCTCTTCTGGAAAAACATTGGTCCTTTATATCAAGAGCAATAACAAACACAGTGTCAATCTACTTTAATAACCGAAAATAGAAAAGTCTAAAATGGAAGAATAAATTGTTGAAAGCAGTATTGTTACAGTGTTAAGGAGTTGGGGGCAGGAGGGGAGGAAACATACATACCAAGCAAGAACATATTTAGGCCAATAACCAAATCATCAATGGAAAGTTATGCCACTTTAAAAAACATACAACTTAGGGGCCAGTATTGTGATGTAGTGAGGAAAGCTTGCGTCCGTATCCCTTAGGGGTGCTGGTTTATGTCCTGGCTGCTCCACTTCTGACCTAGCCCCTAGCACAAGCAAAGGAGATGGCTGCTATCTCGCACACATGTTGGAGACCCGCAAGAAGCTTCGACTCCTGGCTTCAGCCGGGCCCATCTGTGGTTGTTGCAGATACCTGGGGAGTGAACCAGTAGCTGCAACAGCTCTCTGTCTCACTCTCCCTTTCTCAGTAACTGTCTTAAATAAATAAATCTTTTTTTAAAAAAAAAATGCAACCTAGCAAAACAAACAAACAAACAAATCTAATGATCGAAACACAGAATATATGGTTGTTAACTATACATTTTTAAATTTCTTGGGAAAGCTCAAAGAAAGTGCTTTTTTTGTTTGCTTTCTTTCTAAATCCCTGTGATAGTTTTGTTACCGAAGGATCGTCCTGTACTCTCGCACGACGGTAACCGAGTGAAGCCATGCTGACATGGGTCACGGAAAGTCCACCTGGCAAAAATGCATCATCTGTTACTGCATCATTCGGTACCCCGAATCTCCCACCGCCATGTTACACTAAGAAAGGGTGTTTCTCTACGTGGGTCAACCCCAGGCTCACATGCAATGTCCATGGTTGCTTTGTTGGTGGATCGCGTTAAAGTTTTCATGATCCAGTTCCGCAGGCTCAGGGATCTCCCCCCTCCGCCAGTTCTCCTATACAATTACAATAGCAGGGTCCTTCAGTCACAAGTGCATCGTTCTTCTATTTAAGTGTATTGTGACATTTGGATTACAGGAACGTCCTCTCCGACGCACCTTGAACTGGGTGGCTGCTGTTGGTTTTTACACAAGCGAAGGAGCAGCAGCGCAAATAGCAGCATGACCACAGCGTCCCCTCGTCTCATCTGTGTCCTTAGGAAATGCACATGTCAGGAGCCGTGACCCAAGCACAAGTGTTCCGGACTCTAACGGACCTGAAGCTCTGCTCTGGGCACTGGCGCACGCCCTCGGCTGCCGGCATGCAGGAAGGATTGAGTCTATATTTAATAAAGACAAAAATTGGTGCCCGACATGTTTCATTTCTAATCATTCCTGAACCAGAATCAAAATAAGAACTTCCAAAACATCCCTGAGAGGGCCCAGCGCCGTGGTGCAGTGGTTAAGGTCCTTGCCTTGCACGCCCGGGATCCCATATGGGCGCCGGTTCTAATCCCGGCAGCCCCGCTTCCCTTCCAGCTCCCTGCCTGTGGCCCGGGAAAGCAGTCGAGGACGGCCCAAGGCTTTGGGACCCTGCACCCGCGTGGGAGACCCAGAAGAGGCTCCTGGCTTCAGACCGGCATAGCATCGGCCGTTGCGCTCACTTGGGGAGTGAATCATCGGAAGGAAGATCTTCCTCTCTGTCTCTCCTCTCTGTATATCCGCCTTTCCAATAAAAAATAATAATAAAAATAAATCTTAAAAAAAAAAACAACAACCCTGAGAAACCCTTGACAATTACCTTTCCAAAGCTGGTTGAGAGCCCCGGGTTCCGTGTCTGGGCCCGTTCCCAGCCCTAGTCTCAGTGCCAGGAGAAAATCGGCCCCAGAGCAGTGAAGCACAGGCACAGGCATCCTGCTGCCCCTGCTGTGGAACAACGTGGCTTTGTGCACATGAGAAGCAGGGCGGATCTTGTGCAAGTAGTTTGACCATAATAAAAGGAGATTTTAAAAAAATTGCTATAAGCCAATTTGATTTCTTTAAAAGAAAGCAAGTATTACCACAGGTACAGCTGCACACAAGGGGATGTTTGTGCCTTCTCACTCCTCTTCACAGCACTGAACTTTAAATTCCTAATGTTAATGTGATGGTGTTTTTTTTTTTTTGGTAAAGATTTATTTATTTTTATTGGAAAGTCAGATATACAGAGAAGGGGAAGAGAGAAAGAGAGAGGGAGATCTTTCGTCCGCTGATTCACTGCCCAAGTGGCTTTGCAAGGGCTGGAGCTGAGCTGATCTGAAGCCAGGATCCAGGAGTCTTCTCCAGGTCGCCTGTGCGGGTGCAGGGTCCCAAGGCTTTGGGCTGTCGCCTACTGCTTTCCCAGGCCACAAGCAGGGAGCTGGATGGGGCACAAACCAGCGCCCATATAGGATCCCAGCATGTTCAAGGTGAGGACTTTGGCTGCTATTAGGCTACTGCATTGTGCCCAAAATTTGATTTTTATCAAAAAATATCACTCCACTACCCCTGGCATGGCTGCTGATTATCAATCACTTTTTATGCTTCCTACTTTATGTTAAATAAGCCAGTGCAATTACAGGAATTTCTTTACCATTCAGTAACAAGGCAGTGTAGTAACGCCTAAAGTTGGTTGATATTTCATGCATGTGTCACATCATGAACTGTATTTGGAAATGCAGATTTTCAAAGAACAGAATGATTAAACTTTAAAAATTAAACCTCAGACCAAGCAATACAAGTAAAAAGAAATCTCAAAAGGTATATATTAATAAATGGCCTTCTTGGACCTACAATCCATATTTATTTATTTGAAATTCAAAGTTGCAGAGAGAGATGCCAAGGCAGAGGTCTTCGGTCTACTGGCTCACTCCCAGGTGGCTGCAATGGCCGAGGCTGAGGCCGGGAGCCAGCAAGTTTCGTGTGAGTTTCCTACAAGACGTCAGAGGCGCAACCACTTGGGCCATTTTCTGCTGCTTTTCCCATGCCACGAGCAGGGAGCTGGGTAGGAAATGGATCAGCCAGGACACGCACTGCCGTTTACATGCGAACGCTGGCATTGTGGGCAGTGGTTTTATCCACTGTGCAACACTGGTCCTTAAACAAAGAATTAAGGGAAAATATCGTAAGCTTAAATTCTTTTCTAGGGGTGGGGCATCTTCCTACGGTGTTCTAAATATATCACAACAGAATTAAGAGTAAAAACTTCTGTGCTTCCTAGAAAATTTGTTTGATCTGTGGATTTAATCCTATATGATAAAAATGTTCCAAGTATGAAATACAGAGCATAAACCTTCAGCTGGGCTGCAAATGCTTTGGCATCTAGATGTGTTTTCCATATTTTAATGAAAACCAGATTTATTTATAAGTAGCTTTAATTTCATTCTCAAATGGAATGGAACAAGAGTCTCATATGTTCTGAATTAGGGTCTTACTCACATCCCATATCAATTATGTAACTCAAATGCAAGACAACTTAATTGTGTCAATCATATTCTCCTGACAAGATCATTAAACGTTAACAGAGAGCTTCCAGCTTTTAACAGCCGCAGATGTAAAAGCTACAAGATACTTTGTGAAAAATACAGAGGGATTAGAAAAGCTCGGTATAATCATAACAGCTCCTGATTTCTCATCATAACTTCTGAAATCAGAATGCAAAGCTTCTTTCTGATAACATCTTTAGAAAAGATTATATTTCATAGATACATCAAATTCAGAAAACCCAGAAAATCAGCCTACCTAAAAGATCTTAATTACAATTTATTATAAATCAAACCCTAAGATAGAAGCATATCAATATCAAATCGGTCTCACAGAGGTTAATATTGCTATGTAACTCTACCTACAACAAACTGCTCTATATGGACAATAGTTAATTACCGTAACATGTGTAACTATTTTGGAGTGCCAGGATGCAAAGATTACTGATGAATCTGAATTCCAAGCAATTAATATAACTTGTCATTATTGTTCTTTAAAGCTCTGAAATCCAAAAATAAGTATATAGTCAAAATAATATATAGTCAAAATAAGATCAAGTTGCTAAAAAGACATGTAATTTTAAATATCATAAAAATGATGCAAACTGCCAGAATATCTTTCTGGAGAGTTCAAAAATCTAACTGGCATGCAAAGTAATGCTTTTATCCACTTTTATTTAATTTAGTTGAAAGTCAGGCTTTCACGGAGAGAGAGAGAGGGATAGAGAGAGATACGGTTCACTCTTCCAGTGGCCAAAATGGCCAGAGCAGGAGACTGGAGCTCCTTCTGGGTCTCCCCCGTGAGAACATGAGCCCAAGTGCCCGGGCCGTCTTACACTGCTTCTCCAGGCGTGATAGTAGCACTAGAAGTGGGACAGTTGGGTCTCAAACCTGTGCCCATATGGGATGCCAGTGCTGTAAGTGGTGGCTTTACCTGCTATGCCACAATGCCAGCTCCTAATAGAACATTTTAATCAATTTTTTACTACTATGAATGGGATGAGTTAATTTTTGTCTTTTGCTTTTAAGATGAACTAGAAAAAAATGCACCAATCACGTAAATGACAACTGATATAAAATGGAGTATGATAAAGTGCAATTCTTATTTATTAAATTTTCTTGGTTTATCAATGATTTATCAATGGTTTATCAATGATTTCTCTGCTTGAGGTGCTGGTGTCCCATATGAACACCAGTTCAAGTCCTAGGCGTTCTGCTTCTGATCCAGCTCCCCGTTTATGGCCTGGGAAAGCAGCTGAGGATGGCCCAAGTCCTTGGGTTCCTGCACCCACACGGGGAGATAACGGAGGAAGCTCCTGGCTCCTGGCTTGAGATCAGCTCAGCTCTGGCTCTTGCTGCCACGTGAAGGATGAACCTGAGGATAAAAGATCTCTATCTCTCCTTTTCTCTCTGTGAATCTGCTTCTCAAGTAAAAAATGACTTTATTTTAAAAAAAAAAAACCTTCTTATTTATAAGGCAGATGGATAGAGAAAGCGGGAGCCAGAGACAGAGAGCTCTTCCATCCAATGTTCACTCCTCCATCGCCCACAGTGGCTAGGTCTGGGCTAGGCTGAAGCCAGGAACTCAGAACTCAACCCAGGTCTCCAGCAAGTGCACTGGCAGGAAGCTGCCACCGGGAGCAGGGCCAGGCACCGGACCCAGGCCTGCTGCAGTCCCACGTGGGCTTCCCACACAGCACCTTCACCACCATAGCCAACACCCTTCCCAAAGGAGAGCTTAGAGAAGACACACGTGTCCCTGTCAGGGCTGTCCCCCATCACTTTAAATATTCCTAGAAAATGTGCTTGTATTGATTTGTTTCCACCAAGACACATCACATCAAGAAAACGTAACAAGTCATCAAATTCACGAAAATAAAAGGTGGGAGGGAACACCTTCAAACAGTATTAGCGCCATGTATGTGCCATGTAGGGGAGATTACTTGTAAGCTAGCTTCCTAGCAGTTACAAACCTCCATCTGCAGTGACTGTGGAATGTATTCATTCTCTACATTGAAATTGTGCTATCAAAAGGCTGTGCAGGTGTGCTCCTTACTTCCATCCCAGGAAGGTAACGTTTGGCACCTTTAGTACGCCAGGTAACGAAACCGAAGGTCCACAGTTACCTGGCTAGCACTTCAGTTCCTGACTTAGTGAACAGGAAACGGACAGAAGAGAAAGCACTGACTGTCTAGCAACCTGACAAGTTTTGTGACGCAGTCTAAAATCTCAGTGCAACAATGTGTAAGATTCACCCTTTTCTTCCAACTCCACTTAACTCAAAATCTCTTGTTCTCTACAGTGAAAGCAAAGTCCTAATTAGTCTTTTCTTCATTACGAAGAAGCAGCAACAGTTTTTAGGATGCAGTGTTCTTTCACTTTAAAATTTATTTTCTTTTTATCTTTATTTGGAAGGCAGAGTTAAAGCGACTGAGACACGGACATTTGCGTTCACTCGACAGCTGGCCACAGTGGCTGGCCCAGGTCGCAGCCAGGAGCCAGGCGCTTCCTCTGGGGTCATGGAGGTGGCAGGACCCAGCCACGTTTGCCATCCTTCACTGCTCTCTCAGGTGCATTAGCAGCGAGGTGGATTGGAAGTCGGGTAGCTGGGACTCGAATCCAGTACCCACATGGGATGCTGGCACTTGTAGGTGGCAGTGCAACCTGCAAAGTCATGGTGCTGGCCTCAGAACCCAGCATTTTTAAAACCAAGAAGGAAAAAGAATATATGATGCAAGTTATTATTGTTTATAATAGTATTAAAAATGGAAAGTAGCAATCTGTATCATTATATATCTCTCTCATTATACTGTATCACATGATGACAGATTGCTACTTCATTTTAATTATATATGTGTATGTGTGTGTGTGTGTGTGTAATCTGCCAAAGGCATGTGTATAGATGTCATTTCTTACTGACTAGCTGAGAAGTGACAGCCACGTTACTTGTTCCCCTCCCGAGTTGAAGATCTTTCCTGTTAGCGCCCTCAGCCTTTCCCTGTCCTGTACTTCAGAACTTCGTGCCCCCTGCAGACTCTCCTTTCTTCTTCTCCAGGGGCAGCTCAGCCCTGCCACGCCCTGTGCCCACTCCCACGGAGGGCCAGGATTCTTCCAGAGCTTCACAGGGAACAGGCAGGCACCTGCTCAGTGTTTTCCTTCCCTGTTCCTTTATACCTCTGTCTAATCCGCAAGTGTGCTGAAGGCCATGGGACCTTGATAGTTTCTAAAATAGTTTCTAAAATTATAAATAAATAACACATGAAATAAGTTTTTCTTACCCAGTGTAGTCTCCATGCAAGAATGCTGAAATAGCAGCCGGAAGCTCTGTCTTAATAATTAAAAGGTAAGATGACATAGCTGTAAAAAGAATAAGAAGAGTTCCTGTTAGAGTTGTATAATCTTAAATATTTTTACAAAGGATTTATTTATTTGAAAGGCAGACTGACTAAGAGAGAGAGAGGCTAGGTAGGGCTTCTCCCTTTATCTGCCCCTTTACCCCAGATACAGAAGAAAAAAAAAAAGCAATGATGTGGAAACAATGGTCTTACCCACTCTCCTGTAGCCCTTGACCCTTTGTGCCATAATCAACTATGTAAAGATTGTCAAAGAAAAAGAGAGAGAAAGAGAGAGACAGAGAAAGCAAGTGCTTCCATCAGCTGGTTCACTCCCCAAAGGTCAGCATCAGCGAGGGTAGTGCCAGGTTGGAGCCTGGGGAGCAGAAAACCCAGGAGCCCAGGGGAACTCTGATTTGGGACGAAGGTGTCACAAATGCTAGTTTAACCAACTGGGCTGCAATGCTCATTCTAATTTTTGATCATTTTACTTAAAAGGTTATTTAAGAACATAGATATCCATGAGAGCAATGACAACAGATGAAAGGTTAATTCATCATGTACTATCCCAACGATGATACCACAAAGGAGATGTTACTCCCTAGACAGGAATAACCGGCGAATTCATGGAGTATTCTCTGTTTATATTTCAAGTTCAAAGCAATTACATAGGTAAGAGAAAAGTTCTTAATTATACGCCATTTATTGTACAAAATTTTGTTTGAAGTTTTGCAGAAGCTCTCATACATTGTCTCCCAGGTATTAGGGGTTTCTTTAGTCATGAATGACTTAGAAACAGCAGTTTAATAAGTCTGACCAATAACTGCATTTGTTCTTTTATACCAGAATTCTGCTCCCCACCCCCAGAAGTCTCATGCTCCTTTTCTCCCTTTTTGGATATTTATTCCCTACATTATAAATACATTACGAGTACATATTCTAAGAACAGAATGCAAAATGACTTATAGTTTAAACAGCCCTTAAAACACATCAGAAAATACTTAGCAGAACCCGCTAAGCATATTAAAGAGATAAAATTCCAATTTCCACCTCATTTTATTAACAGCTCTCATCAATATTATATAATCAGGGCATGATTCTTATATTTCATCTGACGGCATTCGAGTCAGAACTAGCTTTTATAGCATTTTAACAATGGTCCTGTTTTTTTTTTTTTAATGTAGGTCCAAAAACATAATTTCTGTGAACTTGCTAGGAAAAGTCTTAATATGGTTACAGAATACAGAACTCATTTATATGCAAACACTTGAGCTGAAGCTTAAATACTTCAATAAATACAAACACAAAGGATCTGGAGTCAGGACTGCAGTGTAACAGGGCAAGTATCTCTCCTTCCCTGGAGACTCTCTCTGAACATTAAAGAGAAAAGTCAACAGAAAAAGGCCCACGCAGGAGAAAGAGGGAACACTGCACACATTACTGTTAATGCTTATTTATATTTCAGGAAACATTTCACTTTCTCAACGGACCTGTAAAAACTAAGACCACAAACGAATGCCACGTCTGCGAGACAAAAAAATCAGGGGGAAAATCTGATTCAAGGACTCAGAAAGTTATAAAAATGTGCATTTTGCAATCAGCAGACTTCAAAGTAGCTGAACTTCCCAATTAGAGTGCTGTCTGTGATGATGTGGGCATTGAACGAGAAAAACACCAGCCTGTGTGCAAATCTGTAAGGATATAGGAAATACTGCACGCAGCAAGATTAAGAAACTCCGATTTTTAATTAAGTTACGTAAACTCAAAGCAAAGTGAAATTTACAACAGTGAAATAATCACTTCTCTCTAACACACACACACACACACACACACACACACACACACTGCAGTTTTTTTTTTTCTGCAGCAGCAACAGCAGCAGACTGAGGCCTGCTGAGCACATCTGCAAGCTGTTCGGGGGGTATTAGGGCTGATTGCACTCGGCGAGATGCTGCCGGGTACCTGTAGTTTCATAAAGAAGAACGCGATCCACACGGCACGGAGGGAAGGTTTACATTAACCTTCTCCACTCGAGGATTTGCAATCTGTAATAGCTCATCTACTGCAAGCAACTATCCACGGATGGCGCAATGATGAAAATCATAAGGTGAGTTTGCTGAAAATGGCCTAGAACGACTTACCTCTATATCTTACTGAAATCCCCTGAACACAAGGAACGTAGACTTCCTTTAGGATGTCATGTGTCACCTGCCCATTGTCAGTCTTGCTTGCTTGGGTTAATCCAACACCACCTGAATTTCTAGTTTCAGACATTCACTTCTTCCGGCAATAGTCTATTATTTCTTTTGGATCTTTACTTAGAAAAAGCTTCAATGAATTTGAGATCGTATTTCTCTCTAAAATATAATCTGTCACTCCTTCCAGAATTTCTATGAGCCCCTGGCTCATCACTTGATTGCTTTTACCCTCCATGTGACCTGAACTCTTTCTTTGGCTGGCCGACAGGAGCCCCATTTTATTAGATTCTGGTCTGAAAAATCATGGATAGTTTAAGGAATTCAAACACTGTTCCTCTCTCAAAACAAACAAACAAATAAAACAAACCCAAACCGAGCTCACCATAGTGGGAAAGAAAACTGATTAAAGAAGTAAAGCAAAAACACAAACACTATGCAATTCACCCACAGAAACTATTTTTTAAACCAAAAACTTTCACGCCAAGAAAGCTCACCTACCCGTTGTTTTCAACCAAGGGGTTCGTGTGTCTCGTGTCTTCTGTTAATGGCAGAAGCTTGTAAGACTTAGCTCAGAGACAGGCCGTAAGCAAGAATTTGTAAATGGTTTTTGCTGGCGTAGACACATGGTACAGACTCCCAGTACAAGACACGCCATGCTGTACTCTGAATGAACAGGGAAGCGGGGCCATCCATTAGCGCTCTGGTGATGGCGAGCCACGAGGTTCTGGCCTCCACGAGGTTCTGGCCTCCACGAGGTTCTGGCCTCCACGAGGCCAAGGCCCGCCTGAAAGCCACACCTGTGTGACAGTGTGCGGCCCCTGCTTCACCACATTAACTAAATGCTTCCTCCCTTCTCATTCTGAGCAATTCATTCACTAGAAACTTCTCTGGGAAGGAAAGGGTAATAGTTTAAAAACAAAAACAAAAAAACCCCTCGTTAGCCTAACTGAAAAGTGAAAAGCGTTCTTTGCAAACCTCACAGAGAAGCAACTGGAACATAAAGAAATGACTAAAATTGGGCAAGATGAGACTAGGCAGCAGAAGGAGCAGCCAGCATCCTATTGTCAAGATCTAGTGAACAGTTTCATAGGGAGTCCATCTTTGTCTGGAAGTAGAGATGCATATGGCATTGTAACCTCACATCTGGATATGATAATCTCCATTACACAGTTACTATGCATTCCCTTAAATGAAAAGCCACAATACAAAATCAACAACAAGAAGAAAAACAGAAATTTACAATGCCATGAAGTTAAATAACACGCTGCTTACTGGACTCTGTCATTGTCCACGCCCGCAATGATGGACATATGACTGTGTATGAAGAACTATACTATAGCAATAATATAGGGGAACTCAGTGAGTGGGCAGAGAATTGGGGAGGGGATAAGGGAAATCCCAGGGCCTATAGAACTGTTTCATAAAATGCTAATAATAAAAAGAAGTAATTTTCAAAAAGGATTATTTTCATCAGAGCAACTTTACAATCCATGCAGTTTTATCGTAATACTCATCTCCCTGAGCCTCTTGAGGATGTCTCATGTGATGGATCTCAAAATCCTTTGCACCAAAATAAACATCTTTTCATTCCAAAAAAAAAAAAAACAAAGAAGAAGAAGGGGCAAAGTGCCGGTTGATTTAATCGTCGGAGAAGCACACGGGTTAAGACACAGGGGCTGCCGGGAGAGTTATCAGCCAGAGTGAGGGGGTGCTGTGGAAGAAGCCCAATGGATCTGCTTGCATCTCTGTCTTTGGGGTGCCTGTTACATCCTTAGCAGTAAGCGATATGTGATATGCAAGTTATTTCTTCATTTAATTTTCACACAAGCCCGTGAGCTCCACAGTACTGATTTTAATGAATAAACGAAGGCCTAAAAAACCAACTGGCAGAGCTAGGGAGAGAGCCAGGCTGCTCTGAGACAGGTTCTCGAAGAGTGTGCTGTTGGCAAGTGCGACAACAAACCTGTGAATAACTAATTTACTAAAGCAAAAGGAAAAAAAAAATCTATCAAAAAGGCCCCTCGGATGTTTCTCCCCATTGGCATGTCAATAACAAACTAGACCTGAATGCTGAATTTTACAGTGGGGTTCCAAGGACATCAGGAAGCTCGACCACAGCTTTCATTTCACCCTGACCTTTATGTCCAGTGTGTTCCATCTGAGTTTGGGGACTGGTTTGGGGAAGTCCGAGCCTCCAGGACTTCCCAGGTGAGACTCCATCTCACCCACTCCCACGATCCTGCTGCATTTACAGCTATGCTGGTGGCTCCAAAGAGAAAGCTTCCTGTCCACACACATTTGAGATTTCAAGACTATAGTGAAATAAAAAAATATACATAAAATAAAAACAAAAGCCATGACCTTTGCCCCTAAATCCTGTACCAGGCAATTCTCCTCTCTCACCAAGGCCAAGTCTTAATGGGAGCTTGGGCATAAGAAATTACAAATCACAAACATAATCATTCTTTTAATTAAGTCTTTAAAATACATGTATGAAGGTAGGAATTTGAACTGGTGGGGTTTGAACCAGTGCCCATTTGCAGTTATTTTTAGAACATAATGAGGTTTTCAGCATGTGGGGTAAGTTCCTAAATTTCTTAAAGGATTAGTGCGTTATCCTTAAACAAACAGATGTGCCATGGGCGGAAAGAAGTTTACCTTTCCAGCTCCGAGATTCCATTTCTGTTTCAAACCTATTTAGTCATGGATAGTAGCCCGTTTATTCGACATGTTTTATTTACCTGGTATTCCCACTAAATGTTTAAAGGACTCTGACACTCTATCCCACTTCTGTAGTACATAACACAACCTCCTTTTAAAGAGGAAC